GCATCGGAGAGTGGCTCAGGTCTCGCTCAGGAAAATGAGCGAAGATGGTAGACTGCAAGACCCTATCCTGCGACTTGAGCGAGTGTGTCCTGCGGCTGTGCAAGGTGAGGATATCACGCTGCTGATCGGTCAGCGCAGCGCGAGCATGCACATGGCGAGGGAAGACGCGCATGACAAGAGGAGTCACATTTCGCTGCGCAGGGGGAGGAATGAAGTGCTCATGAGACGAGTCGACGAGAGCGCGCAAACCAGGGATGTGTACCACAGATGCCGGGGGGCGTCCTGCGTCATCAGGCACAGCAGCCGGGGCAGGTGGGATCGCCGCGCCATCTGCAGCCGGTGCAGGAGCCTTGACACGACGGTAGAGGATCGCTCCAGCATTATGAACGAAGTCGTGCGCCTCAACGAAGAAGGTCGCCAGAGGATGCTTCTGGGCACGGAGAGATCTCGAGCAGTGAACGTCCAGGCTAGGAGGAGAGGGCAACATCCGGGACATGGGCTGGTCAGAGTACCAAGCGAGGAAGCGAGCGATAGCCGTATAGTAAACAGCGGGGTGTAGACCCTCAGAGGGCGTGAACTCGTCCCCTCCTCGACTATGCGGAAGCTCCCGCTTGAACCTCGCAAACTCTAGCAGGTCGGGATGCGCGGCAAGGTACTGCGAGGAAGGCCAGCGGTGGTATTTCTCAAGCGCCAGGTGGACAGAGAGGTCAAAGCGACGAATCTGTGATTGGACCCGCGGGAGAAACGGAGAAGACCCCTGGAGGAAGAAGCGCAGCTTCTGGAGATGGCTCGCCCTCACCAGCGTCTTGAACATGAAGCCATGCTGGACGAGCCCGAGCTTCGAGAGCTCTTCGTTGAGGGTAGAAACCTTTCGCTCGGAGCTGACTAGCATGAAATCCATCCGTGCCGATAGGCAGGCCGCCAAGTGTAATCCCGCCAGTGACGACCTCGAAGTGAAGAAGTTGAGTCTTGAGACGGCGCTTAAGGCTCTTCTTCAGCTGCGAGAGATCAGGGTGTTGATGCCAGGAGGGGATGTAAACTTTCGACTCGCGAGGTTGAATCTCTAGCTTCAGATCAGCTAACATGTACTTCTTCATAGCGGACGTAGCTGCAACGGCATCCTCGAGTGGACCGACAAGCACGACGTTGTCAGCATAGGCCAAGACTCGAACAGAGGGAAAAAGCTCTGCGATATGGAGGAGCAGGGGGTGGATACTGTGGCAGAAAAATACGCTGGAGGGGACATCGCCCTGACAGACGCCCGAGGTACACTGAACGGAGGCTGACTGACTTTTGTGAAAGAGTCGAAGGTCAGCAGAGTCTGTCTAAGGGATTTTATTCCTCCTGCATGCTCCTGCTGCTTGTTGCTTGATTGCTTGACCCTTAGGCTGCTTGTCTGCGCGGCTTCGCGCTTGGGCTGGCGCTGCCGCGTCTGGGTGCCAGCAGTGCTGGTTCTTTTCGGGCTTGTGTTTTGTGTGTGTTTGTGCAGCTTCTCGCTGTGGACTGTGTACCTGCCGGTTCAGCTTGTTCCTGCTTTGTCTTGCTTGAGGCACTTTTTATCTTCTGCCAGTAAATCCTCTACCACTGCTCCTGCTGCTTGTTGCTGGATTGCCTGACCCTTCGGCTTCTTGTCTGCGCGGCTTCGCGCTTGGGCTGGCGATGCCGCGTCTGGGGTGCCAGCAGTGCTGGTTGTTTTCGGGCTTGTGTTTTGTGTGTGATTGTGCAGCTTCTCGCTGTGCGCTGTGTGCC